CTAGCGCAGATAGCCCTCGTGTAGCTTTGCGCGAAATTCAAAACAAAACAAATAAACAAATTTTGTCCGGTAATATCTATGTTAATACTTTGTGTTGAAAGAACTTGTTATAGAAAGAAAGAAATACTTTTATTAATTTCTGTAACTTACATTCGTCCTTATCCTTAGCTGTTACTGTTATCACCGTGTGTTGAATATCTTCGTCTTCGTTCACTTCAGCCTCATACAAGACCTGGTCGAAGTATGGTGGGTTATCGTTCTTGTCACCAATACCAATTCTTATGTATTTGGTAACTGGATTAGAAATAAAAATAGTCTTGTAAAAATAACACAGAGAAGAAGAATAACACACACATACATACTGTGAGATAAAAACAAAACTGTAATAAATTGTCATTTACTTATAAAATGTTTATTAAGTTTAGCGGAATTAAGTTTGATATCACAATGCCATTGTATATGTATGACTAACATTTCTGGGTTAATTTTATTTCCGAACGACATAGCTTGCCTTGATCAAAAGATAATAACAATATGCCAATAAGTTACGTTAACACCATAAGTGACCCATGTCTTCGAAAAGAAAGAGCACAATATAAACACACATATACAAAGTTCAGGGGTTACTTTCCTACGGAACACACCTTCTAGGGTTACATTACGTTCTACAAACAGCACGTCTCGCGAACAGGAATTTTCTTTTTAGATAAGCAAAATTATTTCTACTAGTTGATGTACTCGCTAAATGCACAGATTCTAACACGACTCTCTTATGCCACTCCTCTTGGGGCCAGATTTCGTAACAATTGGTCCAGCGGATACAAAATGAGGAAGTGAGAGGGGCCCCAGGAGGTGACACAAAAGGGGCTGACATAAACTCTGACTCCTTGTTATTCCGTGAAAGGCCCCAAGGATACATGCCAGGTTTGGTAACAATCGGTCCAGCGGGTCGCCAGTTATAAGGAGACACACTGATAAATTTTTGTCAAATAATGGTTTAGATATTTGCATAAATATTATGCCCAAAATATGCTGACTCTGGTCCCCCATTCTTTATTCTCAGGTAGACCTGATACTAATATTTTACTTCTGTATTTCTTATATCACCTTTTACCACCACCTATTGGAAGATTAACCAAATACCCATTCATCTCTTTCACAAGTAGTAATTCTGCAACCTCAAACTCTTTATTGGCCAACTTGGTGTCAAACAAGAACTTTGACGTAATGTACATTAAACCCTCTTACGTGCATCGTATTTCTGATAATACAAGCTTACTTCTTGTAATGCGTTCATTGATACACGCATATATTTGTATTCAATTTATATTAGAATTAATACTAAGAAGATAAAAAACACATTTGGTATACACGGCCTTGAAATATAATTTTTAAAAGTTATGCCCGAATTATCCTTTAAGTGTTAAAATGCCGGTTGAAACCTAGTATCCTTGTTTCGAAATGCTATCGAAAGTTTGATTTCTTTCAACTACAGAAGTGTTTATAGATATTCATTAATTTTGTTTAAACAGCATATTATATAAAAAATAAGCTAATCGACAAAGTTTAGGCATTGCTGTCCCTTAAGTAGAACAGCTCACTGGAGGAATGATAACTAGTCAGTAGCCCCCAATGCTTACACAGTTAGTCTTAATCGAATAACGAGATTGACTGTCTCTTTTATAACACGCTCACAGCTGACTGTAATGGGCGTGTTTATTGGCATATCGCGGAATCGAAACTTGGAGCTTCAAATCCGCAGCCCGGCATATTAACTACTAGGCACGTGACTTCTGTATTGTTAGCTAGAATATAATACTCAGAGGCAGTGTAACCATCTCATGTATTTTTATTACTAGTAAAAAATTCTTATCTTGCTTTACTTTATAATTTGGAAACCTTATTTTTTTTTACAAATAATGATAGGTTTAATATAATCAGATTCATGCTTCATTTCCCTGTACCTATTTCCAAAATTTCGCAATAAAAAGCATTTTAGGGTTTTGTAAAGTGACAGCATCAGCATGGAAAAAATTTGTGTTAGGTGTTACGAAATGTTTTAATGGAAAAATCTTTCATATTTGGAAAAGTAATAATCTTACTCGCCTAAATTGTTGAGCATAAGTGTCAGTGTTTTATTTACCTTAGGTTTTAAGTAACAACATTTCTAAGGCACATATACTGCATATTCTACCATTCTGGACATTTAATATATATCATTTTTTTCATATATTTACGAACCACGTGCTTGAAACAACAGACGTACGTACACCACTCTCTGAGATAATGATCTGTAATAATACAGAGGATTTCTAATGATCGAAATATCATTAACTTAAAAATAATTTTCCTTGCAAGTAAATAATTGAAGTCGATGCAATAAAAACGTTCGACGATCACAGATGGAAGCGGACTTGGCAGAAGTCAACCTTTTATTTCCTGTTCAATTTATAACTGTGCTTCTTTTGCCACAAAGCTGAACGAAGAATCATTTCTATTACATATATTTTTTCTACCCGCACACACACACACACAAATGAAATCAATGAAACATCCAAAACGGTACGATTCGTGGGTAAATCTTTTACAGATATACTTAACTTTCTTTGTGTGTGTAAAGATTACGGAACAAAAATAACTATGAACAAAACACACATAAGCACCCATATTGCACAAGTTAATTACAATAAGGGCGTTCTGTAGTTTCTGCACATTGTGTTATCATTTAATATACAAGTTACACTGCTCTCCAGACATCAGGCATATAATTTAAATAATTACAGTTTCAAGTACAGCCTTTAATGTTTGTTTGTTTGGAATTAAGCACAAAGCTACATATTGGGCTATTTGTGCTCTGCCCACCACGGGTATCGAAACCCGGTTTCTAGGTTGTATGTCCGCAGACATACCGCTGTGCCACTGAGGGGCACAGCCTTTAATCCTTTATTATATTCCTTAAAGGTCGGGCGTGGCCTAGTAGTTATCGTGTTGTACAGCGGATGAAATGTCCAGGATTCGCTTCCTGTTGCTGTAAAATCACGCTCCGCACTTTGGGGCTTTAGGTGTTTTATGCGAGTAACGATCAAACCGCACTATTTGATTAGAGTAGCCCAAGAACTGGCGGATGGTGTTGTTGACTAGATGTATTTCCTTTAGTCGATCAGTTCAAAATTGGGGAGGGCCACATCAAGTTATTTCTACGTAGCTTTGCACGAATATATTGAACAAACAATACATTCCTTAAGGGCCAACTGTGAGAGATTAGAGGAATAATAAGGCTTTTGAGTAGTATAAATTTAGTCATAGCTAAAGGCTACAAAACTGTGTACGTAGTTGGTTAAATTGAAATATGAATTCAGATTTAATACATAAACAGTTTTAGGAAAGTACTATATTCCACAACTACTGTAATCTCCTACTTATATACTCTGTTGTCTAAGCTTGTTTATACTGTAATCTCCTACTCATTTGTTCTGTTGTTTGTATGTTTGCGGACTTACAACGCTAGAAATCGGGTTTCGATACCCGTGGTGGGCAGAGAACAGATAACCCATTGTGTAACTTTATGCTTAACTTCAAAGAAAGAAACAAACACTTTTAATTAATATTTTTTACTAGTGTTCTTAGTGCCTCATTTATAAATTTGTCACACTAAACATACATAAATAAACGCGTACACACTTATATATATATACATTATAAACTTTGCGAAGTTTGTGTAGTTTAATATTATAACTAGGGCTGTTGACTGACTGCCTACAGTTTATCGTTTCAAAATTAGGGACGTACATGCGCAGATAGCTGTTTGTACGACTTTGCACGAGAATTCTGAAAGAAATGTACTAGACCTAGAGAGGCTGTTGTTGTTGTTGTTTGTAATTAAGCACAAAGCTACATAATGG